CTACAGGGTTCGTACAGGCTTTTGGATCTAAAATTCAAGACTTTTCGCAGCCTTTTTTTTCCAAAACAATGACTTCTTTTTCCAGACTCAAGGTTCTCAAATATGTGATCTATAGAGACCTTAAAAAAACGCAGGAAAAAAGCTTTTTTTCATGAGCTTTCATGGTGCGCTGCAAAAATAAACAATTTTCCAGAACTTATCTCTATATTGCAGACTTTTTTACGAATTCAAGAGTCTGTACGAACCAAGTGCTAATGAAAACGAGGAAGGGGAGGAGGGGGGAATTGAAACCTGTGCAGTTGATGCATCCTCTTGCAAAGCCTGTGTAATTAACCTCAGGCACGTTGGAATACTTGAATGTTCCTGCTGCTGTATAACAGTGAGTTGTGCCAATGTTGGGGAATGTGTCATAAGAACAAGGCATCTGAGTCTGCAAATTTTCGCCTTCACACAGCTCAACATTACCCGAACCTAGGCAAAAGTTACATGTTGTTGGATTGACAGCTGTGGAAGCGTAAAACTCAGATTAGCGCAGAAAATAAGTACGGATAGAAAGGCTAAAGCAAAACTAGTGTAGGAACAATTACCTCTTTAAATTTGCTTCCACGTTAACCTCTGTCTACATAAGCGTTAAAAAATTTCATTTCCTTAATTGTTTGTTGGATTTTATGCTTTTTTTCAGTAAGGGAGGAAAGGCGAATCAATAACGTTGTCCTCGTTCAATTAAAAGGGCCGGAGCTGTTGTCTTTGGGTTCATTCTAATGCTGACTGTCAGATTCTATAAACACAATTCTTCCTTAAATATAGGTTAGGGGGAAAAAGTAAGATCCGTGTTATTGGACAGAGCTGCAACTGCGCCAATAATGGGATATATTTTCTCGCAACGCCAACATGAAAACTGAAATGATGACTACACAACAATCACTCTTAAGGTTGTTATACTACGTTACCATGTGATCCAGAGGTAGGGGTCGCATAACTTGTAGTTGTACCCGCTGTCATGCCTAATAACCGACCGTAGCATGAGCATCTGGTGCAAAATGGTCAACTTCTGCAAGAAAAAAAAAAAGAAAGTACGATTGTACATGTATAATGGTAGAACCTATAGAGCGTTTTCACATGACGTCACGGCGGCCATATTGGTGTTCCAAAACAATAAAACGGCGGCCATGTTGGTGTACCGAACAAATCCTGAGGGAGTTGAACTCTTTTCTTATGTAAACGCTTCTTTTGTTTCAATAAATTTGCATAGATGCTGGTCACGTGAGTGAAAACGCTTTATTGATCAAGACGTTGGCCATCTCCGGTGTAGTCTAATGTCTTAAGCTTGTTGGTCGGCGGGTGGTCACCCGGAGAGAGAAGGGCTATCGGTAAAAAGATTAAGATCATGAGATCTACCATTACTCAGTCAGCAAGTCAGTCAGTTAAGGTAGATTTCTACTGTCGCGTCATTTTTACGCGCAATGAAGTGGTGGCCATATTGGTGTACCGTACCAAACATGAAAGAGTTGAATTCTTTCTTTATGCACCACTTTATTTTTTTGTTTCTTCAAACCAACGTAGGTGCTGATCATGAGAGTGAAAAGGGCTATTACAAGGTGAAGGTAATTTGTTTGCTTGTCAGTTTGCTTTTTCCGATCTCGTGGTCGAACCTGTCCATCCTCACTTGCCAAGACCACTCAGCAGACTGACTACAAAGGGCCTGCTTAGTATAACAAGAAAAAATCTGACTATGTACTAATAACAATCACTGGGCGCAATGTTCTTAACACCGAGAACTTTGACTTACCAGAGGTACGAACAGCAACCAGAAGTTCCTGGCAAGCTTTGTTTCAGGGTACACTTTCACCTCTTCCAAGAGAAGCTCGGCATGTTTTTTTTTTTTTCATGTTCCTTGCATAAAGCGCTGACGTCACAAATCGTATGTGGCAATATTACGAAAACAACTTCCGGTTGATGTCCGGACTATCGAAGTCAGAGCTCTAAGCTCTCTATCCTTACAAGCTTGTGAGACAGTGTTTCCATGTAATACAGTCAGACCCCGTTAATACAGACACTGAGTGGGCCATAGAAAGTGTCCGTACTAACGGGGTGTCCTCTTAAGCGGGTTGGTTGAACTTTCTAAAGTTAAATAAACAAAATACAAAGGTTTTTTTCCCCAGGGACAAAGCAAAATGTCCGTAACAATGAGGTTTCCGTATCAAGCGGGTGTTCGTAAAGTGGGTTAAATTGTATACCGAAACATAAGACAGGATATTTGTTCATAAACCGAGAAGGGAGTTGAAAATACCAGGGCAGTAAAAGCTCTAGACCCTCGGGGTCAGGTTTGAGGGGTGGGCGGGGGAGTAGAGACGGGGGTCTCATTTGAGAGAAGGGAGTCTATTAAATTTGGCAAAGATGATGGTATCAATTGTCAAAAAGAACGAGAAAAAAAAATGGAAAAGTTCAGGAACATAAAATTGGAGTTAATTCGAAGATCACAAACTTCCAGCACTTGCATCAGAACTATACGCGATCTGTCCAACATGAAGTGTTACATTCGTGATTAATTAATACAGTCTATCATTTAATAATATGGGGGGAGGGGAAGAGGGGCTTAAAGAGAGGGGGCGTAATAAGCTGCTTCTGCTGAAGAGGGGAGAGGGATTATTTGAGAGGGGGATCTGAATAGAGGATTTCCAGTATTTATTTGAGGACCACAAGTTTATCAGTGCCCATTATAACTTTCAAGTATTACTTTCTTTAAGTACAGTCTCCACTCAACTCCATACCATTTGCAATATTAATTTTCAATTGAAAGTACTGGCCAGTGCTAGAATGATAAAACACTGTTACGTGCAAAGCAAAAGAAGTCGCTCAAACTAAGCCAATTTGCCTTCAACGCAGAAGGAAACGTACCTTATTGAATCCTGTGTATCTAAAACAGCTTGTACTTGGTTCCATCCGTCTCACACACAACTAAAACCTCTCCTATTTTAGTGTCGTCCTCAATCAGTTCGATGATGCCCTTGGTAACAGCAGAAATCCTATTAAAAACAAAACATAGCAGAACAAAAAACAAAGTTAGGATTACACCAACGCTCCCAATCCTAGAGTTAAACATTTTCACATTGTGTGAAACTTTTTACTTTAGAGTCGTTTTATGACCTTTTTCAGTAGAGGCTTCTGTGTTCTGTTCTCTGTGGTACTGAAGCATAGACCCGAAGAACTCTCTATGCATGCGCATACGAGTGGCATGATGAGGTGGCGGCTTTTACTGTTAGGGGTTGGCTTATATACCTCCACAACTGGTTAATGGTAGTATTTAATCAATTTTAAATGTTTCAAAATATAGTTATTTCCAGCATAGGAAAAACAAAACAAAAAGTTACCCAAGGAACAGCTAAAAAAAAACTGAATTAAACTAATTCTGACAAACTTACGGTTGTTTGGGGAGGCTATCTTGTGCTTCAATTTCCTCCTTTCTTAGTTTGTGTCTAGGAAAGTCCATTTCAGTGTCCGTTCTTCCAGGGCAGATACAGTTCACACGGATTCCTTGATCTCTCATAGCTGCCTTCATTAACAAAAAAAAGAGAAAAGGTTCTTTAGTAGCAATAATGTTAGTTAACTCTTAGGGTGTATTCACTTGCAGTACACGCGTATAGCCGTCGCAATTGTCTTGAAGGCAAAAAACAATTAACAATTTCAACGAGTAAAAGTGACGGCTGTATAAAAAAGCGCTTTATTTGAGTGTCAATGTATTTAGCACGAAAGTACTAATTGGGGACACTATTTTAGACGGGACCGCCATTTTACGTGGTCATCCGAGCCACGAGAAGGTCCAGCCACAGTTGCAGTGCAAAGGGAGTACCTTCATTTCTCAGTTATTTTAAGACCCTGAGTATTGCTCCGGTCTCGGGAATCGAACCCGCGACCTCCCGCTCTGTAGTCAAGTGCTCTACCGACTGAACTAATCCTTACAAATGTAATTAACACCCTTTCTTAAGACCCGTATACATAGGTGCGGACAAAGTTTTAAAAGGAAAAACCCGCCTTTCGCTTACACGGGATCCGCGGATCTGTGCAAGTTTTTGAACGGCAAACAGTACAGCAATCTGTGACAAAATTTGCCCGGTTCCGTGCTCACAAACCTGTTGTACAGAGGAGATTTTCGTCCCTTCAAGAATTTGTCGGATCAATTTAGGTAGCTGGGAAACTGCCCACCTAGCCCTCCCCTAAGGTAACATTAACACTCACTTCTCACTTAGGACAAAGTGATGGCTTAGGGGAGGGGTTGGCGGGCAGTTTCCCGGAAACCTAAATTGAGCCAATTTGTCCGCACCGGTGTAAACGGGATTTAAGAGGTACAGTTCTTGTCAAATTTCAGCCCAGAGTGAGCATTTTTTGTTTGTTTTAACTTAGGCCCCGTGCACACTGACGCATAAAATGTTTTTCGTCCACACATTTGCTGTAGAAGTGCAAAGAAATGTCTATAAATCTGGAAACGCAACGTTGCCGGAGACAACAGGGTTTTCAAAAAGTTACGTTCTGCAAAACGTTTTCCATTCAGACTAAGGGCCTGTTTACATGGAGTGGGGTAACCCGGTCTAGTGGGGTAAGTTTCTTTTGTTTTCACTCTCTGGGGGACACAAAACAAAAGAAACTTACCCCACTAGACCGGGGTCCCACACTCCATGTAAACAGGGTCTAAAACGCAATGCAGGTATTTTAAACTGAAGTCATATTCATCCACTTTGAAAAGAGTCCGTTCTCGGTGGACAATTTACGCGGTAGGCCTGAACGTAAGAATAAAGTAGACAAAACTGTGCTTTTAAATGTAACTGATGTAGTGGTTTCATTTGATTGGTTCATAAAGATGCACGTTTTAGTTCAACCAATCACCAAGCGGGAGCTATTCGAAAGCAAATCAGATGGGGACTGCCTTTTTCTCAACACACTGACAGTTACTCTGAAAGAAAAAGAATGTTCTGTTACAATATTTCAGAGAAATACTCACATTTGAAATACTTCTAGTAAAGGCTACAATCCCGTGCTTTGTGGCACAGTACATGGGGGCAAGTTTCCACGCAGAAAGGCCTATCAAAGCAATAAAGTCATGAACTAAAGATCAAGATATGACATAATAGTTAAATGTACTGATAATTTCGCTATTCGTTAGTGTTTTTCTTTATTGTAATTATTCCTGGCCAGTATCCATTGACTAAAAAATGATCCAGGGGATCGTTTCTCGACCGACTTGTTAACTCAATTACAAGCCCCACGCCTTACAATTCGAATTGTTTGGTAAGCTGGTGGTTCTTATTGCATTTCTTACAAACGTTTTTAAATCCTGACTTGAATGCGAAAAGGGAAACGGCACTTAAAGCTGTAAACTTGCACATATTACGACTTGACAATATCATGAGGCCGGGGGCTCGACGAGCATGCCCACCAATCGCTTATCAGTGAAGTGAATGTTAATATAACTATATTTTCAACAAAGTTGCTGGCTTGAAACTGTAACGGTGGAATAAAGGTGACATTATGAAATAGTACAGGTAGCATAAATTATTGTAGTCTAGTTTACTAAATTAAAAAAGTAGAGTACATTCACTGTATTTCTAAGACTTGAATTTGTACTTCTCCGGCCAACGCGCGGCAAAAGTAACAAAGACGAACGCAGGAAAAATTTCAACAAAGAAAGACCAACGTGGAAACGTGAAAACTGCTCCCTTAATTTAAAGGGGGGAACTTTATACCGAGCTTATACCGGTTCCACTGTAACAGTATATATATAAAACTTTCTTTTAAAAGCTTCCCTTCTTTTAAGTTCAGTTCAGTTCAATGAAGTTCGCTCTACACTGATCTGTACCTGCAGTTGATGATGTGTTTATCATTACTGATCCACTCTTCATGTGTTCTAGACCAAGAAGAGTTCCATGAATGGCACCACCCTAAATATTTTTACCAACAAAAAGAGGTAGACATCAGTAAAATACGAATCCAACTTGGAGTTGCAGAAAACGTAACATTCAGGTCAGTCAAACCACTTATTTTAACTCCAAACTTAAGCAGACTCATATTTGTGGACTACTTGTTCAGTGACCTTAAACGTCAAAAAATGAATTCAATCACCACCCAAAATAGCCCAGTGAACGGCGCTACATGTCACGTTTGAGCCCTAAGCAATAAGTTAACGTCTCACGATACCTCCTCTCGGTATTAAGATATACGTGATCTCGGCGAGATGGTGCCGAGATTTGACGCTTCTAAGCGCTGCAAACGGTGACCTTCGAAAATCATCGGAACATCTTCGGTAATGTTCGGAACCGAAGACGTTGGAATGTCTTCGGAACTGTTCCAAAGCTGTCAGGCTTTTTCAGAAATTCAGTTAAAACATGGATACTAAAATCAGTCGCATTTTACACGGGAAAAGTTGGCAGGTATACCTCAGGCTCGTTGCAACTGGTCCCAGTTAATTAACGTAAACAACATGAACAGCAAAAGACTGTTGGTGACACTTAAACTGATGTTCAGTACGCAACTTGTAAGCCCACACCAGGAGTCAGGAGATAGATACGATCAGGGGCCCATCTAATAAGATTGAAAGGCATTCATGCACATGTAGGGGTAGATATGCAAGAAGGGGTCACCCCCTTTCCACTGGAGGAGTCTAGGGATATCCCCGGGGTAATTTTTAATGTGGGGGCCCCTAAAACTCTTATTTTAGTGAACTTCAAGCGACCAGGGAAAGAATTTTAGCCATGAGCATGGCACCTGTTTGGACCCACATCAACTTTGCTTTATTTTGTATTAAGCATCTGTGCAACAATAAGTTGATACGTTTCGTATCAACAGGATCACCAAATAATGCGCCAGACCTTGTAAGTCTACCTGTAACTGTCAAAGCAGGCATTTCAAGGAGTTTCTCCCTTCCTTTCTTACGTGATATACAGTCCTAGCGTGCCTGGTGTGCACTGTTATTTTCTGAATAGTGCCAGAATTTCTGAATAAGGCAAGCACTTATTAGTACTGACTAGCAATCAGTTAATGCCCTTTTTTTAAATGAGTATTGTAGGATCTCAGTTAGGATTCATGAGTAAAAAGAAAAGTGGTAAAAAAAGTGTAGACTGGTATCCTGAAACCTTATAGAATTTAAATAGTTCATAAACAATTCGGCCCCCAGTCTCTTCCTACAGGTTGTCACTGGCTTACAGTGACAATTTTGCTGTATGATTACTTTTAAAAGTGTCTCAAAACCGGCCGTGGCAGACTTAGTTTTAATAAGTTGATGACCATGCAGTTATTTGACTGACTGAAAAGGGCGATAGTACAGGACATATTGGCTGATGGGTAGCTGTTTATTGTGCTATGCAATGGAAAAGCAGCTACAGAAAGAAGCAGTTAAAACTTACCAAGTTTGTATTGAGAGTTTTATTCCAATCATCTTCATCAAGAACAGCTGCATTGTTGCAAACAATGTCAAGTCTTCCCCAAAAAGAAATAATTCTTGAGAAGGCCTCTTTAATAATAAAAATAATAATGATAATAATAATAATTAACTATAACAATAACAATAATAATAATAATAATAATAATAATAATAATAATAATAATAAAAATTAAGTTCAGCATGCACACTATGGAATGCAAGGTTATTATTACATGGCACAGTCATATAATTATTTATAGTAACTTATTATTCTTTAATTATTATTACTATTAATTTATTGTTATTATTATTATTATTATTATTATTATTATTATTATTATTATTATTAGATAAGTCTGTCAAGTTACAGTTCCATTCACCTTTGTTTATCTTATCTGTTCTCTCTGCACATGCATTAATTGTAAGACACGCACTGCTTAATCTGACTGCGGGCTCAACTGTACAGGGTAATGGACTAGCATCCCATTTAGGGGAAGGGAAGGTAGCAATAACTTTAGAGAAATAGATGTTTCAAGAAACTGAAACGGTCCGGAAAACTTGTTCAAAGACCTGGATAGAGCGGTTTTCATTTAAGTATCGAAAAGTAATTGGTTTTGCACTTTCTACACGATGCGATTGGCTTAAAAGATTCGCCTTACCTTTTCATCCAATCAGAAGTAAAACCAAAGCCAATTGTGACGCGCTCGCATGCATTTTCCCGCGCTTTGCGTCAGCCACATGTAATTACTTCGAGTTTTGATTGATTCAATGTATTGTCTGTGTCCTATGTGATTGGCCAGAGTAATTACTTTGGTTTTGGTTTTACGACACTCAAACGAAAACCACTCTAATTTTTAACCAATCTCGAGGTCAATTATATGCAGTGTTTAATACCACCAACTTATTACCTTTAAAGTATATACTGTATTATGTATTATAATCAGGAGTCGAATCAATAAAACTTTTACAAATGTAATTTTAAATTTTACAAGTGTAGCTATTGATTTAGAGTGTGAAAACAACAGTGGCCAAACTTGTAAATTACACTTCTAAAAGTTTTATTAAATTGGCCCCTGGATAGAATTTGCACATGCTTATAGTGTCTTCAGGAAGCATCTAAAACATGTGCTATACTGATTTTATTACTAAATAGTAAGAACTTAATATAAAACCTTTCAGTTCCTTCTCAATGGAAACATCACATCTAATGAACTTTGCACACCCTGTCCCATAAGTTTCACTGAATATTCTCTCTACCTCCATGCCTCTTTCTTCATTGAGGTCAACAATAGCAACCTAAATCAAATAGAAAGTATTATTACTTTTATTACTGTATTTCCTCCCACATTAAAGTGCCAACACTCTAAATAAGTACTCACCCCCTAAGCCATATCAAACAAGTGTCTCCCTCCTCGCATCACAAATTTTAAACTGCATACCATTGACAAGTATGATGAGATTTAATCAACATTTTTTTGGAGGGGAGGGGGTTAGGGAATTGTTTTGTTAATTGTATATCAGTTTTACCCCTGTTGAAAAAATGAATTATTAAATATTGATTACTGAGTTTTGAGGTTTGAAAATGGCTGTAATGTGAGCAGATATTAATGTCAGTTACAGGTCAAAATTATATTCAGGTGTAATTTAATTTTTTAACCTTGGTTGATGTTTCCAATTCCCTATGTCTCCTAGCCCTAATTCATGACAATTAGGGATAGGGTACAAAGAAAAGATAGAAAAAAAAAATAACAAGTTTGAATTTAATTTTGACCTTCAGTAACATAATTATATATATAGTCAAATGAGTGATGTACATAATTTAAAACTGTTTCAAGTTACAGCTAGCTCACTTAGGAAGAATAAGGGCAGAATTCCAGTGTTAGGAAGGATAAGGTCAGAGTTTCAATGTTTGGAAGGATAAGGCCAGAATTCCAGTTGAACAGTCCTGTGTGAATGAAGTGTCCAGTCAAACTTATCAGCAAGTCGAATATTGTTCTGATGCCGTTTGACAGTACCCAAAGAGTGGACACTAGTTTCATTAGAGCAAATCAACCAATTAATATTTACCTATTTTTTAAAGTTTGTGACATGAATTTATAAAATGGACCACTTGATTACTAAAATCAGATCTCAAGAAGTCAACATATAGATTTCAATTGACTTTGAACATCACTCAATTAGTTTAGGGTGCAAAGAAAGTCAGTTTACAGCGTGCCATTCGGGCAAGTTATAGCTAGCATGTACTAGCCCACAAATCATTTCAACTAGCCCCAAAACCCTTTTTGATTAGCAGGATTGATTACAATCCTTCTGTAATTTGAATTTCCCCAAAAAACAGCACTTGGCCATCGGGCAAGTTAAGAACAGAAATCACTAGCCAGATAGCAAAATCCAGTAGCCCCAGGCTATTGGACAAGACTTTCTTTGCACGCTGTAGTTACCATCATTTTAAACAAGCACTGAAAAAATCGACTTGTAACATCCTGAGTTTTAATAGACAAATTTAATTTCACTTTTCCCTCTCCCCTCCCCCATCCCCCACCTCGTCCTCAAAGTGCAAAAAGGCTGAGTACATCAGTGTATGCCCCTGGCTGAGGCTGTTTACTTCAATTGAGAACCCTGCTACCCCTTTGCCGGGGAGGGGAGCTTTTCGATTGACCCATTCTGATGAAAAACTTCAAGCAGTTCCCCCTGGAGGGGAGGGGCGGAAACTAGAACTTCAGGAACTTGCATGGTCAGATTTCAACGAGACTGAAAGTCTAAGCTTTTTAACAAAAGGAATAGTTATTTTAGGTAATTTCGCCGTTTCACAGTATCAGTCACTACTGAATTTTAGCCACATTTAAGCCACAATACGACAGCCTGCAACGGTCAATTTAGCCTTTCAACAAACTCATGAAATTTTCGAAATTTTCCGCATTCGCTTGCTGCTATCCAAAGTCGCAATAAATACCTTGGCGTTACGCTGCAGCAGTACTTCGCAAAGTCCACGTCCTATCCCTGAAGCTCCACCTGTCACTAACGCCACACAACCAGATATTTTCATCACAGTATAATCTTTAAAATGCGCACTAAAGTTCAGAAGAGAAAGCGCGTTTTCCCCTCTGTTGTGACTTTCACTTGAATTATGCGCCCGTCAATTCGCGAATGGGACCTGAGAACAAAACAAATTACCTGGAGGGGAACGTGGGGGAGGAAAGGGGGATCGAGGGGAAGGGGTCCTAAGATGCCATAGTTGTACCCAATCAAGAGCCCATGACCCTGCCATTTGTATATCTGTTGAATTTTAAGCAATTATAAAGTGCACCCCAGCAAAAATACGCAGATGCTACTACCAAACAGATGATTTATTTTGAACTAAAAGGTCAGAAAGCGTTACATTTTCAGTAACTATAAAATGCCCTCTATCATGTTGATGAACCTTAACGTCTACCAAAGTCAAGTAGCGTAATCGAGTCACTATACTGCTTTGGAAGGTTTTTAAAAATTAAAAATTTAAGCTAAATAACTGGTGTTACTTGCTGAACTATGTGGTATTCTAAGTTTTTTTTTTCTTTATGTCTCCAGTTACGTTCATTGTTTTAATTTTCGTCTCCTTACCCTGGCCTCCGTAATAGGCAGCGCTTTTGTAGTCTTTTCTTAGCTCATTACAAAGTGGTTTTATTTGCTCTCGGTATCTTTCACAGAGTGTATACTTTTGCAGATCACGAGAGAAAACCCCTAAAATATCAGTAGTGTTAAACAAACCCAATTTTATATCTACTATGACCATTGCTTCTTAACCCTGCCCTTTTGGCATATTGAGGTTCTCATATTTAAGTACAATCTAGTTATATACTATAAGTTAAAACTAGTCATATACTCCTTGTTAAATGTTAAGATTTTTAGGAATTCTCGTTTGCTAAGCTTTTGAATCATTTCCATTTTCTTTTCTTGTCTTCATCTTAAAAGGTAACTTCGACAGTGATATCTTTGGAAGTATCGAAGATCTTGACGAAGGTTGTCTTCAGGGAATTATTGTAGTAATACGCTCCTGGTGTATCCTGGGAATTTTGGAGAACATTTGCAGCCTCGCTGTCTGTTGCCCCAGTCTTCTGCTTCAGTGAGGTACCAGCAGCTTTGACGAGTTTTGGGCTGAGAGTTCCCGGCATGCTCAAGTAGTAGAACGTCTCAGGTGGTGTGAATTTGTTGTACAGACGCTTGATGCGGATCCGTTGACCGTCAGAAATCCCTGGTGTGGATCAAATAACCTCAGAAAATTTATACATATTCACTTTCTATGCACATAACAAACAGAATAATAATTGGACATGCACAAAAGTGATTAATAATCAATCTAAAATGAAAAAAAAAAAAAAAAAAAAAAAAAAAACAAAAGATATAATTTTCTGAAAATAAACAAAACAAAAAAAAAAATTTAATATATGAATAAATTCAAAAAAACCAGTATAAGTTTTGTCTTTTTTTTTTTTTCAAATATCTTTTTTTTTGTCTTTATTGTTTGTTTTTTTGTTTCCTCTTTACAATCGCTTGTTTCGTAACCCTTAACCGTAAAAAAACCCTGGTTGTGAACAAAAAACCCAAAAAAATTTAAACATATTCACTTTCTAAGCAAAAAAAAAAAAAAAAAAAAATTGGAAATGCAAAAAAATAAATAAAGAAAAATCTAAAATAAAAAAAAAAAAAAAAAAAAAAAAAAAAAAGCTAAAAACTAACGATATAATTTCCTGGAGTTTCTCCAATCTCATGATACCATTTACTCACGGAAGGAGTTCAAGAAAATCAATAACAGTCATGGCCATATTGGTATTCCAAAACAATGAAAAGGCGGCTATATATGTAAATTGGTGTATTCACCAAGCCATGCTGTGCGATGTGAACTCTTTTCTTATGTACACGCTTCCTTTTGTTCTAATCAGGGGTTCATGGGCTCCTGGTTCCAATAAATATGCATAGATACCGGCCAAGTGAGTAAAAACTCCCTTTAGTTTACAATGGCCCTTCTGCATGATTACTTCAGACAAGAAAAATTTTACCACCAAGCCTTGTTCGTTGGCAATACTGCACTCTTGCACTTTTTATGGGTGGGTATTCTTTTCAACTCTACTGCCTTTGGGAATTCATTTATGGAAAACTTTGCAACTTTACAATTTCAAAACGAGGCATGGTGAAATTTGCTAGTCAGACACAAACATGTTTAAGGGCCATTACATTATTAATACATTTTTGGTAAGCTAGAGTTTAATTATTTTAATTTACAAGTTATTAAACCTCTTCGCACGATACCAGCTATATATAATGTCGCAACTACTTTGATATTTTACCATTGATTTAGAAATTTGAATTATTTAGGAGTCTAAGAAAAAAAAAATGAGGTTTACATGTTGTGGTTCAATTCTATCCTTGGTTCAAATTTTATTTTCCTTTTCATTTCCTGAGATCAGAAAATCGAAGATGCACAATAGTTACCAGTCTCAGCGAGTATATCATTTTTAGAATTAACGAAAAAATGAAGCCAAAATTTGTTGGTAAAGTAAGTCGAAACCATCTCGATTTGATCAAACTAGGCGCGTTTAGTCGTATCTGATAATTTTTCATCAGGGCCGGAAGGTATTATGGGTGCGTTTTTGTAAGCATGCGTTTTCTTTGTCCCGCCCTTCGAGAATTTACAGTGACTTTATCATATTACTTCGCAACCTCAAAGCTAAATTAGAAAAATTCCTTTCAAAAATGTCAAATTTGTTTCTACAAAAAACGTTAGAGCATCAAAAAGGCAGCGGCAGATAATCAATTTATAGTAAGAACCATTACTGATGATTATTAATTTAAACAAAGGGGAATAAAATTTGAACCGAGAATTCAACTAAACTGCAAAATACACTTCATCTAACCTTCATGTGTAATCTGAGTCAAACGGTATTCGCCAGATGTCTCTGCTTTGTTACTGACACCATCGTCATCAAGATAGAGTTTGTAGCTGTTGTTCCTGCCTGGATAGATGCTAAATGTAATGGGGTTCATCTTTCCCTGAGAGTGTAGCTCCCCGATGTATTGTTCCAGTTCCCTCTTGGGAATAATGGCGCCTTCACGGATGTATATAGCGCAGTTGTCTCTGCTTTTGTCATTCCAAGGGGCATAGAAGTCTAACTCTACCCCTCCATCCACGGGGGCTTCAAGTGGCGACTTGTCGTTTGTGAAACGGTACCACTGGCTCCCAGCGGGGAGGTACACGGCTCGATTTGTTTGACCTGAAAAAAGGAAAAATCAGTGAGCACGATGTAAGGCCTCAAACCCTTAGCAGCTGAAATCGTCCTTGGGGACATTAAAGCTCCTGGCATTCCTGTAGATTTCTCATATGGCGCATACATAAAACTGATCAAGTTATCAGGGGAAATAAAACTTCTAAACTAACAACTTTTTAATTAGTACGTTTCTTCCGCTGTTCGTACGGTTTTTAACTAGAGATTTTGTTGTTTGGCGCCCCGTCTCGATACGAACGAAAGCGTTTCTGTTGTCTATGAGGTGCTATTGACGTTTAAATTTAGCCTAGATCCTAGGTTAAGGAAATATGGCTTTGACATTTTGGATAAATTTACCAAGAGTTTAATAAGCGAATAATAAATTAAGGCTCCCTTTAACTCATTTTGTTTTGGAAACTACACCATATACCTATCAAAAATTGGTTAAAGAGTCCAGAATGATACCTGGATTGACTATTGGTGCCACTAACATGTCCTTGCCAAGAAAAAACTGATCGTCCAAGCGATTTGAGGTGTAACCACCGAATCCCCATAGATGGTCATCATCAGCATAAGGATCATTGTTGAACTCTCCTGCACGTTTCGTAAACCAAAGTAAAATGTAAGTATAGTATGGAAGAAGTAACAGTTTGGCAGAAATGCAGGACGCGCGTTGTTGAGAACAGTGTGACGAAAAGAGCACTTTAGGAAAATATTATGGGATCTTGCCAAGGTACAAGAATAATTTAAGTCGTCATAATAAACGAAAGATGTAGGTTACCTAACAAATAATGTAATCAACTGCTCCTCAGACTTCTAACGACATCATGATGGCGAATTCCCTTCGTCCCATATAAAAAATCAAGAAGGTGTTCTAGGTACAAGTATACATGGCTTGATGAGGACGTTTTCGTCATGTCGTAAACGCAGTATCATTTTTATAAGGTGCGCTCCAAAATCTCTTAAGAGAAAAATAGGTCTGTTCACACTGTTCTAATTGTTGGTAAAGGGGGACTAGAAGAGGGTGTTCAGATGGCTTAGAGACGAGCGAAACGCAAGTTTCTTACCAAATCACTTAGAAAGGGATCCGAATCTTTCAATTGCTGAGGGAGGCCTTACCTGGCTTGATCTCGTCCATGAAGAGAGGACGACAAATCGGCTTGCCAGTCTGCGTATTCTCGTACATAGCGTCGTAGATATACTGAATTAACTGGTAACGCATCTCAATGTACTTGCGGCAAATGCTAGGGACGGGCTCCGCGTACATGTACGGCTCCTGGTACGGCTTGTAGTAGTTATCATAATGATTGCGGAACCATGGCAGGAATGCACCCATGATAGTCCAACGCGCTAGCATTTCGGGATCAACAATCTGACCCTAATAAGAAAAATAAGACGCTGTGGGAGCCTACACTTGTGCAAACAAGCTGTTCAAAATTTGGCTTTCGACATCTGATATAGAGCCCTAGCTCACTGCTATATACCTAGCTATTGCAGTTTGCATGAAAACCAGTATTTCTACTTTGAAGACACGAATCAGGCGATTGCCAAAACTTTACTTGTGGCTTTGCCCAAGAAAAAGCGATTTAGCTAATTAAAAGAAAATATACTAGCTGGTCAATTCATCCTTATCAGTTGCCTCTGGGTCTGGCTAAGCACTTACCTGCCAAGCTGCGCAAAAGCCACCAATGTCGCACCCAGAGACTGGCTGAGCAGAAAGTCCGATACCAAGGATGAGAGGAATGTTCATCTGGACGAACTGCCAGTTAGAAGTACTGTCACCTGAAAGTATATATAAGAAATGTAAGAAGGGTACACCATTAATCTGTTAAATTATGTAATAAGAAAAGGAAGAAGAAGAAGAAGTTATGTTGATCATGATAATGATGATAATGATGATGATTCCTATGATCTCAAGCGAAGTTTGCATTGAACAAAGAATTCGAGTAATAACTGTGTAATACTACCCTCATAACTTCCTCTTAGCGAGTAAAAAGGAATTGAAGGATAACTGAACCTGTCCAAAGTCCTGCATAGCGGTGAACACCAACAAATCCCCCTCGTGCGATGATATAATGCCGTTTGTTTGGCTGGATACGTTGCAGTCCTTGATACGTCGCTTTACAGAGGTTGTAGTTATAGAGACAGCGAATCTTAGCGAACGGCTTCTTGTCATGATGCGTGCTTTGCTTCGCGTACCTAAATGGACGATGGGATTGCAATAAATAGCACTTCAGTGTTATGGTATATTTAACAATTATTCCTCAAGCTCGAATGGGTTCTGAGTATTGACTCAGAGGCCATGAGGGCGAGAGGAATAATTGTTTTAGTAAAATCCAACTAGTTGGTCAAAAATATCCGAGACAAAACAACTTTAGCTAGCAAAACGCGATTCAGCCGCCATTATTTTGGTTTCCAAAGCCGGCGCTTTTCGCTACTAGTGGGTTATAACATATAGCCTAGTAGTAGCTCAACCAATCAGAACGCAGCATTGATAATAGACCACTAGCTGGATTTGTCTAAAATACTATAGCTCGGCCCTCTGTACGTAGATGGTGAATTTGCTATGAAAAAGTGGTTCCGTGGTTTGGAAAAATCTTCTTTCCCCGTTTCTCCCTTTTTATTTTACTAGAAAGTTTTGTACTCAATCTGTTTACCAAAGTTGCCGGGGGCTGCACAATGGTCAATTTCCGCAAGTTTACAAAGTTTATTTTCTGGGTCGTCAACTTCCTTATTTCGTTACTGGTATAGACTGAAGCGAAAATACTCGAATAGTGTACCATTCAACCTATATTTTTTCACACCTATCTATAGTCACAAGATTTTCAATGTTTAATACTATGCACTTAATGTCAGATCCCGAGGGAAACAGTTAGTTTTGTTTTCTCGAGAGTTCTGATGTTTCCCTCGACTTCGTCTCGGGAAACATCAGGACTCGAGGGAAAACAAAACTAACTGGTTCCCGGAGGGACCTGACATTAAGTGTTTTATTATATATCTAGCCTTTCACTTCAACAGCAATAAAAGAATAACCGGAGTGAACCAAAGCAGTCGACTCGGTACTTATAACAACACACATCTAATTCTTAAAACCACTGAATGAATGATTTACAAAGTACTTTCCTTATATTATCGGCATCTTTTTCCTCCACTAGCTGCTGTTTCTCTTCTGGGATAACTTTAAAAATCGTTGCTTTTTAGCTTGAGGCTTCGTGTTTGTGTTGTTGTGTTCACGAAAAAGAAAACTGGCAGTGTTTTTCCCGCCTTCTGTCACGCCACTTTCCACCATGCTTTGACCACGTGCTGTAATGTATCCCGAGCGGGGTACATTGCTTAATTTATCATGATCGGGATACATTCAGTGTTCTCCCTAAATTTTAGCTCAGTAGGTTAGGGACCATTCATGGCCGGTAAGGCAAAAAAAAAAAAAAAAATCGGATCAGATCATAACTTGCGTATTTTTTAAAACAATTTATTTAATTTTAGTAAACCTTCAAGCGGTTGCAGGCGGTAAGAAGTGTTGCTTCAGACGGTAAATTTTAACGGTTACTGCCTTATAAGGAGAACACTGACACTGATTTTAGTCAAGGCCACGTGACCAAGAATCAACAATGGTAATCCCTGTTTAGTTGAGTGAAAGTCTAGGAATATAACAATTCTCATTTGATTTACATTTAAACGTCGTAGAATGTACCTGGTCTCCTCGTTATCACTAATCATTATATCCATGGGAAAAGACAAAAGTGGACAGTCAGGCTGATGAATACTGGCTTTCATGGCTGGAGTTGTCATGTCTTGCCACACAAAATCCAAACCCCAATCCAAAAGATCGCGGTACTGCTCTCCCCACCACTTCTGTGCGTCCGCCCGTCCCAGATCGGGATAGTGGCCCCAAGTCAACATTCCACGCCCATAATTCACATTACCGATAAAGTGCTCTGCGCTACCGCTACCGTCCTCGCGGATGTTCATTACAAAGATGTCGTTTGCTTTGCCAGTGTCTAGAGCTTTGTATGGGCTGTACTCTCCATTTTCATCCTTGTTACAGCTGATGATTGGTGTGATGTTGGTACTGCATTTGAAACCCCAATCATGCAAGGCGTTGAACATTTCTTTGGGGTTTGGGAACTTGGTTTTGCTATGTGTAAATGTGCGATAATTGTCCTGAAAGTAGGGAAGAGTACGTCATAATGCAAAAGGTGAAGGGGAGATTTGTGGGCATGCCAATACGCAGAGCTTATCACGGTCTCAGCCACATGAAGCACCTAGAATTATTTTTACTCCACTCTGGGCGAGATGCTAGACTACCACGGGGTTTAAGCTCTAGTCAGCAAAACGTGTTAGTACCCATTCTATGGAGAGAGACAAATTAAGGAAAAATTTCTTGTCTAAGGAAAGAACGCGATGGCAAAGCTTGAGCCCGGAGAGACAAATCCGAAGTCAAATGTGTTAAGAAGGAANAACTTGGTTTTGCTATGTGTAAATGTGCGATAATTGTCCTGAAAGTAGGGAAGAGTACGTCATAATGCAAAAGGTGAAGGGGAGATTTGTGGGCATGCCAATACGCAGAGCTTATCACGGTCTCAGCCACATAAAGCACCTAGAATTATTTTTACTCCACTCTGGGCGAGATGCTAGACTACCACGGGGTTTAAGCTCTAGTAAGCAAAACGTGTTAGTACCCATTCTATGGAGAGAGACAAATTAAGGAAAAATTTCTTGTCTAAGGAAAGAACGCGATGGCAAAGCTTGAGCCCGGAGAGACAAATCCGAAGTCAAATGTGTTAAGAAGGAATCCATCAGCAAATTAAGTAATTTTAATTTTCGGAGTAATTTAAACAATAACGCCATCTCTTTTACATTTTTCAAGGGCTATGGGTGTAATTAGTTGTCTGTAATAACACCAAAGGAAATTTCTTATGCAAGTGCATGAAAATAAATGTCCAATTTAACAAAATGACATCTTATATTACACATGAAATTTTTAGAATTTTACCTGTGTTTTCACAATTCTTGCGAAAATTGACATTTATTTTCGCGGGCCCCATGAGAAATTGTACTTTGGTGTTATTACAGATTACTAATTATATCTATAGCTCTTGAAAAATTTAAAGAAGAATGCGATATTGTTTAAATTATTCTGGTACAAGGCTTTTGTCCACTGAAAATTAAAATTACTCAATTTCCACCCCCACTGTGGTATTTTACACTAGCTGCTGATGGGTAAATACCGTGCTGAAGTATACAAGTGTAGTAATTATAAATTATTTTATTTTTCGGATATTGTATAACTAGAGAAACCTAATAAGCGTCAAACGAAAACTACACTTTCCTTTTATCTTTTAACCCTGAGTTCCAACACCGATACATGCATGGTTCTTACCTGAAAGTCGACATCAACATGCAGGCCATCGATAGGAATCATCCACTGACGGTACTTAAGCGCGACCTCCATTAGCTTCCATTTGGTATTGTAGCTGGGACCATATCCTCCCTGATGGTATCCAAAAATGTACTTTGGCTTCAGTTGGGTGCGTCCGGTCAACTGAGTAAACTCGTTCAGCACCTCTGCAACGTGGTTAGCAGCAAAGAAGTAGTAATCAAGTTCACCGTGAAGCGCGCCGAAGTAGTACTGGTCGCCCTGCCGGAAGTTTACGAAGGTCTGCGAAGTGTTGTCAATCAAAATGCCGTAAGCGTAACAAGGTCCGGCGAACGCGCCATCGGGGCTTGGGTTCCACTCAATAAGGAACGGCGAGGACTGGTACAATGGAGAATTTGGATTTAAAGGGCCTTGTACCTCCCCCTCTGGTGTTAGATCAGGAGCCGTGTAGCCAAAGTTATCAAAGTTAAAGAACGTCATGGCAGCACCGATCTTGTGACTTCCACCAGCAAGTTGACCAAAAAAGTGCTGTTTAGGTACACGGCGCTTATCAACCGTAGCACCAGCCTTTTCTCCGAAACCGTAATACTGAGCGTTAGTTGGCGCCATCTTGAACTGGGCTACGGCTTCACCTCCATCTTTGCGGTCAACATAGACAAGATTGTAATCAGAGGGGTCGGCGTGGATCAGCTGTCCAGAGCGATACACCGACAAAGCGTACTTCTTCAAATTCACACGTATCTATTGGGGAAATCGGATTAGGAAAAGTTTTTCTTAAGCTGGTGAGTCAAAATTGTTTAATGGGGTCACATGACATGCGAGCTCTGAGGTTTTCTAGAACCCAGTTAAACTCTGCCCGGCACCTTAAATTGCCCCCGCAGGGATTTCGCCTCAGAGGAGGCAGCATTTTAGGTCGCGTGAATATACACTATAAAGGAATATACTACCAGTTAAAATATGCAGTTAGTGTACCAGAAAAAAAGTCTTGATTTGCTTTAAGAGAGGCTGCAGGGAATTGTTGGCCAATGATTACGTTTCAGCCCTAAATGCCCGCAAGTTTGAAATGGGCAATCATGACGGAAAATAGTAACTGCTCAGGCCTGACTATCTAATCAAATATGCATATTTTGATAAAATGCTATTTAAAACGGTTTGTTTCTATCTGTGATACTGAAAATTGAACTACAAATGTAGTTTAATGGCCTCAGCAATATGAGTGCATTTTAGAAGCTCAAATTTTCGTCACGTGACTGATAATTTAGAATTAACGGTCAAAATAGTTACTGTAAAATGGGAAAAGGATAATGAAAGAATAACAAGTTCTTTTAGGCACATTTCAGAGGCTACTAAAAAGGTTTTTAAAAATTCGCCTTGTATGTGTTTTTACGTTACATAGGAATTGGTAAATAAAGGGAAAGGGTCACGTGACTTATTAATTAGTTAAATAGCTAATAGGATAAATAATATTTCCAATCATACAAGGCGAATTTTCGATTTACACTGTTTATGTAACATTTTGGTGGTGAAAATTCCTAAGATTAAGGTTTGCAACCCTTCCCTTTTTAAGAAAACGTGTTTTGTGACGTCATTGACGAAGCAATGTCACGTGTTATTTGAAATCATGTTTCACGTGTTTTTTCGTTCAGCCACATATGTAGTTCACTTTTCAGGATCACTGACGGAAGCAAACCGTTCTAAATATCATTTAACAAAATATGCATATTCGAAATAGTCATGGCTTAAATGCCCTGAGTGTCTGAAAGGAGTATGGGTACTGCGACTAGCAAAACAGGAGTGGCAGTGAATAAAACATCCTTATCTGGGGAGTGTAAAGTATTATAGTGAGCAGTTTTCTAGAAAACTATACTGATTGGTCATTTCTAATTGATACTCACCTCAATGAAATCAGTACCTATCTTTAGATACCCTCCCTCCTCCTTTACTTTGATCTCATGCGCCTCGATCCGCTCCACCACAGTCGCCGGGGAACGACTTTTTACGTACGGAGCTTGGGGATCAGGATTGAAGCGTACCCGAAAGGTTGAATGAGATAACAGGTAGATGTAGATTTTGAGGTTGCCATCCAGAAAGAGAGTAAACTTGTCCACGATTCCTTCCTCTTCCTGCGTCCATTTTGTTACCTTGCCAAGACTGATCCAGTTCACACGCGTCTCAGGAGTGAATTCATCGGGTGGTACGTATCGATACGCGGCCATCGTTCTTTAATGTTTCGTTTTCTACGGCTGGGGGATATCAAACAAAGTGACGGGTGATAAGTCTCGTATTAGCTAGTACAGTATTTAGTAAATGAAGCCCCTTCTGGCCGCTGGAATATCAAAGTATAATGCCCGAGTTGAGAGAGGTCTATCAGAGAATTAATACTGATTAAGCTACGGGTGAAACAAACCTTGATACGTGTTCGGCGTTGCGGTCTCGCGGATGAACGGGTTAAGGTTGTCATCTTCTAACAATCTCATCTCATGCTAAACCAAGTTCTAGTGTTAAGACTCGGCATCATAAATTGCCGTTAAGTTAATCTCCTAAGAATGCTAGCTATGAGGGACTAAATTATTCTTTCTAAAGATCTCTATACTGGCCAAATGATATCCTAAAAAATTCACTCCTTAACCGCCTTTATCCACCAATAGTGGAATCACATCACTTCGATCTCTTTGCACCACTTGTGCTGTCATTGGTTTTAGCTGACTTGTGCAGGGGGTGAGAGTTTTCAAACCACACCCATAGGAGAATCAGTCAAACAGACTAAGAGAAGACAAAGAGAAAAATACAAAAAAAGACATTTGACCAGAAAATCTAACGAAAATCTGGTACCACTAGCCTCTCATATTATTTTAGGATCCTCGAACTTCCACGAAAACTTTAAATGACTGAAATTAAATGAAGCTTTTTTTGAAAAAAAAAAAAAGAAAAAGAAAAAAGAAAAGAGGAAGGGACCAAGAAAAGAAAAAGAAGCAGGTAAGAGAGAAAGAAAAAGACTAGTGCTCCACCTGTAAATAGCCTGTGTATAGACGTCCCCTCTCCCTCAGGAAAAATCGGGAGAGGAGACGTCTGTGAATCGCCGTCGTTAATCGTGTTCCGGTATACATTTGCATAAATTATTTTTTTGTTCTTTCGCTGACAGTTGAAAAGGCACATGTGGGTCGAAAAATAGCTCTGGCGTCTGTGCACAGGCTAGCCGAACATCTTTACGCAATGTCCACCCAAAAATCCAGATATAAGATCTCTGATTACAGTGAAGCCAGGTCAAGCGTACCTCCTAAGATCCTATTTATTATTCGAAAGTTGAACCGTTGGTAGTTGTAGATTTCAGATTAATCTCTGTGGGGATTGCATGCATAATGAGCCGTGAATTCACACGCGATTCAGTTACGAAATCTCTACCAGCTCAGTTTCCCTGAATTTGATGTAAATGTCTTCTAAGACATTTAATCCATTCAAAGATTTTCAATCTGACCAAATGCAGAGAAGTTCTCTCAAAATATTCACTGCTCATTCGGCATACAGGAATGCCGATTTAAATTTGACACCAGTTACGGGAACGACTAACGGATTCATTTTTTCAAATAATCAATTCTGTAATAGAATCTTTTTGGGGTAAGCTTGACCTGCCTTGGCTGCTAACGTTGGATTTTGTATGTCTTCTCTTTTATTTACAATACTGACCGGTATGTGTCACTGAATGAATATATTAATATTCACATGGACAAATTAATGCGATGAGTCGTCGAAACTCCCATGGACAAAAATAGTCCAAAAGTCAAAATATAACAAAACAAAGCTAAGATACCTTCAACTGAACGTATCCTTGTCTTTCCTGGCCGGTTTAAGTGGCATTTTGTTGAGTTTTGCAATTGTAGGTACTATCCACTAAAGAAGAATTAAAGGCTGGCTACAAAACAAACAGACCATCTCCACGCGCCTTCACACGAAGCGCTATAAATTCGAGAATAATCGACGAATCCGCTCCAAATAACCATCGGCTAATCTGCAGGTAACGTGTGCTCCTGC